TTCTACTGAGAGTTATTATGGGCTTGTTACAATGCCAAGGTCACCAGACATACTTGCACTTATAGACACTGTCTGGAAAATGCCTGTTCATTTTTTGAGACACGCCTGTTGGAATATAAACACAATAGATGCATATTGAAAAAGAAACAAAAAAAGGATATATAGCACGTAAAGATTTTTTGAAACTTTTGTGGCTCAAAAAAGTATTAAAAGTTGTTGTAAGGTTGTGATATCATCTGATTTGTTAGATTGATTTACGTATGGAGACACTCATCCTTGTTCGTTATGTTCATAGAAAAATGAGATGACTTGTTGCTGTTGCAGAATTGGCAGGTACACCAGAGATTTGCATCGCAACACTGTGGACTCTCTGGTTGAGTCAGCTTTCAGCGTTTGGGCCAGAGCCAGCAGTCTGACGTTTGTCAGGTCGCACACCCGCAACGCTGACATCATGGTGGAGTTTGTGACCTATGGTGAGTTTGCTTTCTGCTTCACACAGTGCATTTAACAACTTGAGTCACAGAATGACATTGGGCAGTTTTCAGTGTGTAAAAGACAATCGCATGGATTTGAACAAGTCTGTGCTTCTGTAGTTTAACTTCTAACCAAGACAGCGTCATCCGACACCTGTCTGCTGAACTCTAGACTCATTTAGACGATGTAAACAGAGGCCTGTAATTTTCTTTTCTCATTGTGTTCTCTGTGGGTTTCTATTTCATGTCTGGCCTTGAACATCTCATGAAGAACATGGTGATTTCTATCCATTTGACGGACCAAGAGGCACACTGGCTCATGCTTTCGGGCCAGGGCCTGGCGTTGGAGGGGACACACACTTTGATGATGCTGAGTATTGGACAGCAGGAGAGACAGGTATTGAGCTCAATCACACTGGTACCCCTCTATGATACTTAAAGATTGAAATAAGTTAATAGCCTTTTTTGTTGTGTTGTTGCAGGTATTAATCTGTTGGTGGTAGCAGCTCATGAATTTGGCCATGCTTTGGGCCTGAAGCACTCCAGAAATCCTGAATCATTGATGTACCCGACCTACAGATCCTCCAGTTCAGCCAACCTGTTATCCATAGAGGATGTAGTAAATATCAACGCACTTTACAGTAAACAATTTATATGTCTGTAAAACAAATCATACTTGAGGTACAGTCAGGTTGTGAAGCCAGAGCATTTTTTAATCAAGTGGAATCTGATATGTGTTAGGTCCAGTCAGAGGGAACCCAAATTACTTTTCGAGGTTGGGTTGGAGTTCTCAGAATAACCCCTGGCTGTCGGGGTCGCTGCTCCCTCAACTCATGCAGAACAAATGTGCTTCAGACACGACATTTGACGCGGTGTCCACTGTTGGGGATGCCACCTTCTTTTTTAGAGATAGGTACTGTATGTTGATTGTTCTCTCTCATCTTGTATTTACAAGTATCTACAGTATATTTCCTCTTCATTAAAAGCATAAATGTCCGTCTCTGAATCTCATAGTGTTTATTTACAACCAACTAGATACTGAATTGTGTCTTCTTTTTTGTGATGTTTTCAAAAATGTTTTCCCTCAAGATACCTCTGGATCAAACACATTGAGCAAGATGACATCAAAGAAGGTCTCATCACCAACTTTATGCCAAAGATTGAAACCAGCATCGATGCAGCCTTCTGGGTGCCTCGCAGATCCGCTGCTTACCTTATTCATGGTAACCAACTTGAATAATTCAGTGCGTAGAGCTAAACAATTTAACCTTTCATTCATCCAAATAAAACATCTTTGTCTTTCTTTGTTTGGAACAGAGTCCATGTTCTGGACAGTGAAAGGCTCTCTTGTGAGGGGAAAGCCTCGGGCACTAAGCCACTTTGGGTTTCCAGCCTGGGTCCAGGACGTTGACGCAGCAGTCCACATACCGAAAACTGGACGCACCCTTTTCTTTATGCAGGATATTTATTGGAGGTAAGGCAACCAAAGAGTTTGGGTAAACTATCCTTATCTCATGTTCTGTTGTTGTGTTTCCTGTTTTATTTTAAAGGTCAACCAAGAGGACATGGTTGCTCCACTTTTTTACAAACACATGGTCATCATGAGTTTACCAGTGCTTGTGACTCAAGTTGGAACCAATGATAGTGTTTTGTTCACTTGAAGGACCATTTCTACCACTACTTTAATTTGCATGCAATTAAGAACATTTTACTTAGCAAACAGTAAAATCTCTGCACTGCAGGTATGGGAATGCTCACGTTTTGCACTGTCGGATATATTATTTATTTCCCATCATAAGGTACGGTGGCCCGGAAGTGCAAGACACCACAGCATTTCACAAAACACCACAGCATTTCAGAAAACACAACAGCATTTCAGAAAACACCACAGCATTTCACAAAACGCCGCAACATTTCACAAAACACAACAGCATTTCACAAAACGCCGCAGCATTTCACAAAACGCCGCAGCATTTCACAAAACGCCGCAGCATTTCAGAAAACACAACAGCATTTCAGAAAACACAACAGCATTTCAGAAAACACCACAGCATTTCACAAAACGCCGCAACATTTCACAAAACACAACAGCATTTCACAAAACGCCGCAGCATTTCACAAAACGCCGCAGCATTTCACAAAACGCCGCAGCATTTCACAAAACGCCGCAGCATTTCACAAAACGCCGCAGCATTTCAGAAAACACAACAGCATTTCAGAAAACACAACAGCATTTCAGAAAACACCACAGCATTTCACAAAACGCCGCAACATTTCACAAAACACAACAGCATTTCACAAAACGCCGCAGCATTTCACAAAACGCCGCAGCATTTCAGAAAACACAACAGCATTTCAGAAAACACAACAGCATTTCAGAAAACACCACATTATTTCACATTGGACGGAAAGGGTATTCCTTTAGGGAGAACACTTCTTGTTTGTGATTGGACAGAGCCAGCCAGAGAAGCACTGCTGTGATTGGTTGTTTTTGCTGCCAGTCAAGAAATGACGCTTCGTGATTGGTCAGCACCCGACAGCGCAACATGTCCCAACACATCAACCGTTAGCTGTTAGCACACACTCAGAGCTCACAGCTCCTCATATCTGTTCAGAAACTGGACAAAAGTTAAACATGTACAAACCACAGACTGTCTATGACGTAGACAGTCTGTGGTTTGTACTTGTTTAACTTTTTTTTGTGAAATGCTGTTGTGTTTTGTGAAATGCTGTTGTGTTTTGTGAAATGCTGTTGTGTTTTCTGAAATGCTGCGGCGTTTTGTGAAATGCTGTGGTGTTTTCTGAAATGCTGTGTTGTTTTGTGAAATGCTGTGGTGTCTTGCACTTCCGGGCCACCGTAATAAGGAGAGGAAATCATCTTATATCATACATTGGCTAAAACAACATAACAACATGCATGTAGGGAGGCTGTGGCTCACTGGGTTGGTGGGCAAGACACTTCACCCCAAATTGCTCCTATGGGGATTGCCCACAGTATTTAGTTTATGTAAGTTGCTTTGGATAAAAGTGTCTAACGAGTGACACAGACTCAGATCTGACTTTAAGATTTAGTTTGCCTCACACAGAGAACTAACGGCTCATTTTAGAGTCATGAACAAATGTTTTTTCTCAGCTTTGAAAGAGGAATATATGATCATGAGTCATGACTTCTGACGAACGTTGTTTATATCGTGTCTTTTTCAGTTACAATGAAAACCGAAGGGTTATGGATTTTGGTTACCCAAAGTACATCAGCGAGGACTTTCCTGGAGTCAACACAACAATAAACGCAGCTGTCTACAAAGAGGGTGAGCCATTATACATATTACTCATTGTATCATATGATGGAAATGTTACTTGTTTGTCAATTTGAATGAATTCAAATCTAAAAATAACAGGTCATGTAACAGTATATGACCACGAGGCAAACTGGGTGATGTTCTGATTGGAAAGTGGAGTAAACTTGTCTAGAGTTAGTGTATTTCTGTCTGTAGCCTGATGGGACTTTTGCATGGTGTAATGTTTTTGGCAGCGCAGGGATGCTAATTAACATGCAACATCAGCTGAGTGTAGTTAAGCTTTTACAGAGCATGTGGTTCCCCTCTGTGATTTAAACTGTATCATTTAACCACTTTACCACTTACGGCTTTCATTTCATCTACTATCATTTCAACTGTGAGCAAAAGTGGATATTTAAGTTCAGAAAGGTGCTCATCATCATTATTATCGACAACAAACAGCAACAACATTCCAGAAAATGCAAAATGATATAGGACAAATATGTGAATTACTAAGCAAGCATCCTAAAAAAACTTTTCCTCATCTCAGGTTTTGTCTACTTCTTTGACGGACCACAAGTCTACAAATACGACTACACCCAGAAACAAGTTGTCGGAGTTGAGAAAGCAAATTCCTGGCTTGGATGTTGAAATACTTTGAAACCATGAACACGCTTTACCTTAATTACCTGAAAAGACCTTGAGTAAATGAAAAATAGAGAATAAAAAAAACCCACTGTTTTTGGTCGTATTTTTTCAAAATAAAAGAAATAAAAACCAAACCTCATATAACCTGTGTGTGGTTTGTATGTATCCCACAGTAAAATGCCTCCAGCATCAGAATTTATGGTTTGTTTCTTTAAATCCTTTTTTATCAGATCTGCACATCACTGTGGTGGAGACTGATATTATAAGTGTAAATTAGGTATGCCTCACTAACGCCTGCAGGTTTTGACTTGACTGAAAAGAAGCTACAGAATTCACAAATAACATGTTCGGCTTCTGGTTTATATACGACAAAACACACTGTGCTCACACGTATTTCCCCATTATAGACAGAAAGCCTAGACACATTATGGAGACATTTCATTGGGAGGTTTTAACCACAAAACCTCCAGAAAATTGGGGCAGGTAGACCCAGCTGTATAACTAGCAGGATTGTGCGCTTTTGTGCCATGTGATTGCCCAACAACCCCAAGAATACACCCATATAAAAAAGTAAAGCCTTGTAGAAACGTGCATTTAAAACATGGACTTGTTCTGGATGTGGATACCTGTTTTGGGCTCTCTGATTTTTGCGGAAATCTTGTGGAGTCTACCCATCGATCGGGATCAGTGGCCGAGGCCTCAGGATGTGGAGCTGGCTGAGGTTTGTGGCAGACGACTGAGATTATACTCAACACATATCACCATTTCTGCCCCAATGAAATTGTATTTCCTAATTAAATGAAATGATGACATGTGAACATTGTTGTGCAGAATTGCTTAGGTTGAACTATTCAAACTGAAGCACTGTTTTGATACAATGCTGTATTTAAATGTGTTTAGTGTCCATTTGATTTGCCTGCTTCCATTAAAAAGCGGTTGCTTCAACTTTCTTACTGTTGATATTTTAATCTGGATCAAATAGTTTTCACATTATAAATGCTTGTTAGGGAACTGTAAATGTTGTTTAAAAAAGGCAAACTACTTTCATGACACAAGTCACTGAAACTAATTAGTTAACTGTCAATGCATGTTGAATCACTTCCTGGTTTTGTGCCTCTAAAGAAAAGGGCAACCTTTAAACTCACATCAAAAAGACATTGTTAATCGAACACAGTACCATACCAGAGAGAAAACTGCAGCGCAAACGTAATTTACAGATATATTTAATATATCTCGTCTGAGACCTAAGCCTCCAGATCTGAACTTTTTTCAACAACAGGGCTACCTCAGGCGGTTTTACAGCCTGAACCCCAGAGGCAGAGTTTCAAGAAGGAGTATCAGGTCCACGTATGCCATGGAGGAGAAGATCAGAGAAATGCAAAACTTTTTTGGTTTGAGAGAGACGGGTGGTCTGAATCCTCACACCCTGAATGTGATGAAGAAGCCCCGGTGTGGTGTTCCAGATGTGGAAAACTTCAGCTTTTACCCTAGAAAGTCTAAATGGAAGAATCACACCATCACATACATGTGAGATGTTTGTTTTTTTACTGGAATATTATACAATACACATTTTATTGTTGATTTGTTTTCAGATTACATTTTGCCAAGTAGTGACTATAAGCAGCTGCGGATTTAGTTTCATGTTTGTGCGTCTGTCTGTGGAACTGCAGGATATCCAAATACACTCCGGACATGAAGAGAGAGGATGTGGAAAAGTCCTTTCGCTCAGCGCTAAAGTTATGGAGTGATGCAGCACCGCTGAAGTTCATCAAAGTCAACTATGGCAAAGCTGATATAGTCTTCAGCTTCGCACGCAAAAGTAAAACTGAAAACCACTTCTGAAGAATACTTATGTTTATTACAACTGAGTTTAAATGATTGTAAATTAAAATACCGCAAAAGAAAGAGAGGAAAAAAGCACATTAGATTGAAGTCATGTTTAATTTGTGTGACAAAGTGTCTTTTCTGTTGCAGCTCATGGAGATTTCTTTCCCTTTGATGGACCCCGGGGTGTGCTGGCTCATGCATTTCAGCCAGGAGAGGGGATAGGAGGGGACGTGCACTTTGATGAGGACGAAACTTGGACGGCGGGGAGGCAAGGTTTGTCAATATGTAACGCAAAATATGTTTAGCTTCTCGTTGAGGATAATCAAAATTCTTTAAAAAGAAAATAAGAACAGAAGTATACTCAAGTACTGTATTTAAGTTCACAAGACAGGTACTTGATTATAGTATTTCCTTGTTATTCTATGTAAACTACAATTTTGGTTACTTTTTTTATAAAGATTGCATACAATAGCTTAAACATAAGGTTGGGTGTATATTTTTATTGCATCGTCTATTACTACAATTATAAATTAATCCATACATAAAAGTTATCCAATATATCATATGACACAACTATAGGGGCCATTTCCATCGTGATGATTACTTTTGGTGCTTTGAGTTCATTTTCCTAACAATACTTTTACTAACTGTAAGTACAATTATGACTGCAGGATATTTCCTTTTTTTAATTTTAGTATTTCTACTTTTCCATTCAATTCTAAACCACAGTTGGAAGCAAACAGCTGTTGTGCTGATTTTGTTGAAACTGTAAACACCTTACACTAAGGGTAACAGTAGGTGTTGCATGTGCCTTTGACAGTGAAAAACTACTGGGACGTAGCCAAACATGCAACATTCTTGAATGTTTCAAACCCGCGTAAAGCAATTTTCTGTGTGGATTTGCCAGCCAGATGAACTAACAGGACCTTTCTGTCCCTGGGTTTCAGGTTACAGCCTGTTTGCAGTTGCAGCTCATGAGCTCGGCCACTCGCTGGGTTTGACTCACTCAAAAGACCCCTCTGCTATCATGTACCCCAACTACAGAATTCACAGCAGTACGCAGTATTCTCTGTCCAAAGACGATGAGCTTGGGATCCAAGCGCTGTACGGTGAGGAGCAAATAAAATTGCGGAGTGATAATTTGCACAAAATACCATATTTAATGGATTATTTCTAAATGTTTCTTAGGAAAACCAAAAGGAAAAGTGGAAACAGAACCAGCCCCTGAAAAATGTGGCCCCAACTTTTCTTATGATGCAGCAGTTATGATTGGAAAAGAGATTGTTTTCTTTAAGGACAGGTACAAAATATACAATATATGTTCTATTATTTGCTTTACATGTTTAAACATCAATTAAGTCTGCTTATTGTTTCAACTTAGGTACATGTGGATGAGAACAACGCAGACAACTTATTGGAATCGCCTGAGAGAAAGCCACAGCAGCACATATTTACCCAGCATCAGTTCTCACGTGGATGCCGCTTATGACATCCCTGCCAAAGGCGTGGCGTACATATTCACTGGTACGGTAATGGACAGTCTGCAAATAATCACTTAGGCCTTGTCAGCATGACATGGCTATATTTCCAGAGGGGGGAAACACAGTTCGCTCAAATTACAACCTTGTGCAACTTAAGTGTTGCAGTTCATGCAAGAGGCTCATTGAGTTTGGCAGCGCTTTGTGGTATGTTGCTGTTTTTCATAGTGTCCTAAAAATGCAGTGACACGGCTGTGTTTTTCCAGGTCATAAGTATTGGGGTGGTTCGACAGCTTAAGATGAAAAGTCACGCCCGCTCCATCCATGAGTACGGCTTCTCCTCCAGAGTCAAGCAGGTTGACGCTGCCGTGCATATCAGCGAATATGGGAAAACTGTCTTCTTCATTGGAGAGTTTTATTACAGGTAATCCATTTTTTCTAATGGAAATTTGCTTCCTATTGCAAAATTATGTATCTATCCCCCTAGGACTGTACATATATTGCCAAATCAAAGGCAGTATATCCGTTTGTATTACTATTATTAACATACCAGCCAATTGATCAGATGGAAGTTTACATTAAAGCTTCCCTAACCCTAACCCTATCCGCTTAAATTGCATTCAGCTGTCACATGATTGATGATGAAGCAACAGTCAATGCATCTGTTTGATCAAACTTCAGGTATGATGAGCTCAAGAGAAGGATGGACCCCGGCTTCCCCCGACTGATCCAAAAAGACTGGCCTGGAATTCCTAAAAGGGTCGACGCTGCCTTTAAGTTAGATGGTAAACAAAAAGGAAACATGGGCAAGGTTTATGGTCATGAACTTTGTATAATGTGGACCTGAGCAACAAATAGAACACGGCTGAAATAGAACTTGTAATTTCTTGTTTACACCGTGTCTAGGTGGTGGGTGGGGTTCACCGCACTGGACACACTTTTTTACTGAAAGTACCATTCACCCCAGTTACAGAACAATACATTTCTCAACTAGAAAATCCTGTGTTCACCCCTGTTTTATTTTCTTATTACTCTTCATCCATCCTTTTTATTCCATTCCATTGCAATGTAAAACGTTTTTTATTTTTTTTAATATTTTTTCTAGTTCTCTATATGTGTTTTAATTGTTGTTTTACTTTGATGTATGCACCATGACACCTAGTCAAATTCCTCGTAAGTGTAAACCTACTTGGTAAAATGATTCTGATTAACTTTGTTAACGTTTAATTGAATTTATTTTGAAACATGAGAAAATAACACACTTCTTTTACAATGTTTTGTTCACAGGTAACATCTTCCTCTTCAGTGGGGCAAAATCCTACCAGTACGACTTCAGACAGACACGAGTGATGAATACAATTTCAGCAAACTCTTGGCTAGGATGTTAATACATTGGTAAATTACTAATAATTCATACTTTATATAGTTGAGAATGCTTATTAAAGTTAATAAAGCGATAAATAAGTATCTTGTATCATGTATTTGACTGAATTGTTTATTTTGTGGTGCATGTCTTTACCTGTGACATTTATATATATTATGTGCAAGGATGGACAGTGCTGATAACTTAAAATGTGAATATGAAATGCAAAGTGTATACTTTTATTAATGGATTATTGTCTTCAGATGAACATTCAAAATGTACCTTCAATACTGAACAACACTTAAAAACCTCATAACTACATGTTGTTAGTGTGAACGTGACTTTGTTGTAAATCTGAGTATATGGACAGGATGTGTATCTTATTAACTGAACTCATTCAAATATATATTTTTCAAAAATATCATATGCTTTGGCAAAACATAGTAATTTCATCGTTGCTCTTTCAGGCAAGTGTGAAAAAGCCAAGTCAGAAAAACTTGACACTTAAAAGATTTGCATTAGAATCTTAACTTTTCATATTTTGGAAAAAAGTTATATTATTAACAAAACCCGGTCGTGTTTCATCGTTTTGTATTATAAAATGTTTCTAAATGCATTAAAGGGTTTCAGCTGGTGGTGGTGAAGTTAATTGTTACTGCTACTATTTGGTAGTTGATTATGCTTTACAACAATAGGCTATCATTTGGTTGGTCATTATTGGTTTTGAAAAATATATTTTGCAAAAAAAAAACATGAAAACAATTACAGCTCTGAAAAAAAAGAATCAACTTCAGTTTTGAAGGTTAAGTATAGCTTAAGTTGCCTTGCACAGACTTCAGCAACAGATAAGGTGGACAGAAACATCATTTGCACCGACCTCTCTGCTTATGTCTGTTTGACTAAAAAATGCACACTTTCTTACCAACAAAGAGAGAAAATGACTGGAAAAGTAAAGGACAGGTGCTTAACCTAAGTACTGTACTCTTGATAATACAATGTGAGGTACTTGAGTATTTACATGTTATGGTATTAGCTTCCCCAAAATGCGGTCAGAGGTAGTTCCAGCCTCCATTAGTGGACTTTAGTCGAACATCACGCTCATGTTTACTCAGCAAACTGGACTGTGGTCCCTTAACATCACAGGTTTTCTAAAAGTACATACAAATACGGTAAACAACAAAATGTTTCACCCAAATGCATTTTTTTGTGTGTTATGGCGACAATTTTACATTTCAATGTATTCTTTGGATAAATAAGCGGCAGTTTAAATGTGTATATTCCTGCTAATTTTTGGCAGAATTTAAAATGAATAACTGGACAAATCAGTGTAATCTAACTGAGACCCTCAAATGTAAGTTAGGGTTTGATTGTGGCCAATAAACAAATGAATTTTCACTGTAATTTATTCAATACTCTTGTTTACTGCACTGTGCGCATGTAACAAATTAATCGAACGTAAGCTAAATCATATAAGGTGTGAAGAAACGGTGTCAGAGGAAAATGAAAGCATTTAATTAAAAGTAATACAATTGATAACAGAAGCATAAAAATATTTAAACCGCTTCAGTTAAATTGATCATATCATCTCCTCCCACTGTGTTATCACTGTGTACTCCCTCCCTCCTCTGGCAGAGGGGCTTGTCTTTCTAGTGGAATACACAAAGGGACACTTTGTACCCTAATTCAGCATACATCAGAAAACTACGAACCTCCGACTGAGAGTGGATGGAGAGAAGAAAACATTTCAACAATATGTCTGTAGTTGACTTTTTTTGGATAGTGCTACTGGGTTGTTTTGCCTTGTGTCATGCAGCACCTACAATTGCGCCAACAGTTTCACCAGTGGAGGAAAACCTGGCAGAGGTAATTTCGTAATAGTATCCTGCGTTAACAATCAGAACTAGGAACTGGCTGAAATAACCAGGGGATAACAGGGGAGCACTTTGCATTCAAATAAACTGTAGTGGTTGCATGTTGCATGTATTTACATTCAAATAGGCTCTGACATTTAAATGAAATGAAATATGAATGACTTGCAATAAAATCCTCTTCCTTCTCCTGGTATCAGGATTACATTTCTCGGTTCTACGCTGACGTTGGGATGACAAACTCCACACTACGAAGAGCTGTTAAGAGCAATTTCAGTCAGGATCTACAGGTCATGCAGGCTTTCTTTGGCCTGGAGGTAATTACAATGAATGAAAGCTATGACTTCCTGTAATCCAAAAAAATATTACTGCTCAAAATTGGCTAATGGTTTAATTTAGAAATCATATGGCAAATCATCACTCTGTATGAGATAATATATTTGTGTTTACTATTTCACACCACCATCCGTCTTTAGGTGACTGGAGTCATGAATAATGAGACTATGACTGTAATGAAGGAGCCCAGGTGTGGTGTGTCGGATATCAGCCGATATGGACACTTTAGTGGGAGACCCAAGTGGGAGAAGAGGCTGATTACATACAGGTAACTGGAAGTTATTTCGGAGGAGCTGCATGCTATTATTGTCAATACTTTTGTGAATGAATAGTTTTTGTGGTGGTTGACTATAATAATAAAGATTATGATTTGAACAGGATCACTCAATACACTCCAGAACTGACCCAGAGTCATGTGGATTCAACCATCGCTCAGGCCTTCCAGCTGTACAGCGATGTCATCCCACTCAACTTTAAGCAGGTCTACAGCGGTAATGCGGATATCATGATCCTTTTCAAGGGTGGATGTGAGTCTGAATTGAACAAGACATTCTTAAAACCTCAAGCTGATCAGTATGTGAATCCTTTTATTTAGACTCACTAACACTTGATTAAATTATCTTCATTGTCCTATTTCAGATCACGGGGACTTTTACCCTTTTGACGGGGCGGGTGGAGTCTTGGCTCATGCTAACTCTCCTGGACGGGGTCAGGGAGGGGACACACACTTTGATGATGATGAAACCTGGACTCTTAGCTCAAGAGGTAAATACAATACATGTTATTAAAGCTGAAGCTGAAAACAGTTTGGGGCTTGAGGATATCACCTTGCCAAACTGAATTTCTGGATTTATACTTACTTATAGAAGAGACATGATAAAATAAGTAAATCTACTGTATAGAAAATCGTCAAAATCTGATATGTCTGACATTGTATTTTTCTGTGTTTAGGTGTGAATCTTCTGCTGGTGGCAGCCCATGAGTTTGGCCATGCACTTGGCCTGGATCACTCCAGGAACAGAAGGGCACTTATGTACCCCACCTATCGATATGTCAACACTAATGGGTACAGGCTGCCCGATGATGACAGGCGTGGGGTTCAAGCCCTATATGGTGAGCAAGGAAACAACATTATTGTCAGATTAAAATAAGATGAGAACATCTTTATAGCCTCTATTTAAAGATCAGTATTGCAAAACAAAAGCCAAGATGGATTTTTTTACTTGGGTTTTATCTGAGCTACATGACAGAATGCTCTTTTTAACCAGTAACCAATGGACCTATTAATGAATGGCTTGTGGTTTTGTTTGCAATTTTTCTAATTCCCGTTTCCATGAAATGAGGTTCAACGGCATGGGAATTAAACTGAATCCATTTTATATTCATTGTGGTTTGTATGCTTGACAAGCAGGCTGAACATGAGCCCAAGCCTACATGTTCCTAAAAGTGCTTTTCACTCTTATTTTTTGAAAGTTGATTGCTTTAAGAGAACCCTAACCCTAACCCTAACCCTAATCCATCCCTCAGGCAGTCGTACACCAGTGCCAACAACAGCACCGAAACCTAAACCGCCTCCTGGTCCGGACCCTGGACCAGAGCCAGAGGAACCAACAGAGGATCCAGAAGACCCTCTCCCCAACCCCAGAGATGAGCAGTGCAGCCGAGAGCTGGTGTTTGACGCTGCTACCTCTATCAGGGGAGACCTCTTCTTCTTTAAAAATGGGTACATTTTTTACGATTTTATGATAATCCTTTTTATGTGGGAGTTACATTAATACATTTCTATTAACATTTCAATTTACAATCCTTGCTAGATACTATTGGAGGAAGAGTTCAACTCTCAGTGGAATCCGTTTAACGAAAGTGAGTACAAAATGGTCACAAATCAACTCTGTCGATGCTGCATTTGAAGTCCCAAACAAGGATGTGGTGTGTCTTTTTGAAGGTAATTCAAAGATTGTTAGGCCTGCATGTTAAATATACTCAATACTGTTCATTTAAGCTGTCTATGAAACGACATGAATAACCTACAACTGTTTCTCTACAGGTCGTCAATACTGGTGCATTAGGTCTTATGCAAAGACAATCATTTCAGGGTATCCAAAGCCTCTTACAAACCTTGGCCTGCCCTCTTCAGTCAGTAAGGTCGATGCAGCTGTCTATGTGCCAACTACTGGAAAAACACTCATATTTGTGAAAAACCTGTATTGGAGGTGAGTGTTGGTCATGACCAAATCCAAATGGTCTTTAGTAGCTGAGTACTGTATATAAATGACTATAAACACAGATAAGTGAGATATGTATTGCGTATGGGTACACACCTACACAGTTTTTGTTAAAGTCCCCCTGTTCTCCCTTGCAGTTATGATGAGAGAAGAAACCAAATGGACTTTGGATACCCACGATCAATAATTCTGGATTTCCCTGGCATAGGCTCTAAAGTTGATGCAGCCTTTGAGAATTATGGTGAGAAATTATATTCACTCAACCAATCACAATCTGTATTAATTTGACTGATTTGTTTGACTGTTTCACTTATTTACTTGTTGAGTGTGAGGAGAAGACTGTTATCACTCCACATTGTCCAGGGTTACTATTGGACTTACAGTTATTATAATATTGAAAAACATAGGAAGACATATGAAAACCCATTCACCATTACAGTTTGATAAAGTGACAGTAATTAGTATAACACAGACAATTTACACATTTTTGTTTACAGCTTTTATTGTTGGCCCAAACAAATTAGTTACCACTGCCTTAAGTGCAACACTTCCATATAAACTACATCTTCCTTTCCACAGGATATCTATATTTCTCAGATGGCCCCCGGCAGAGTGAATACAACCTGCCCTACAAGACAGTGATACGTGTACTGCTCAACTACGGCTGGCTCAACTGTTACTGAGAACTCACAGACAACAGATCAATGTCTAAGATGTGCTTGCTGCCAGCATATTATGAACAAATAAATGACCTGAATAACAATATTTTACATTTTTATGAAGTGGGGAATCAATTTTGCAGAAATGTAACTATTGCTTGGCTGATGCAAAGAGAAATGATCTTACTGAGTGGATATTAATAAGGAATGTAATGACGGGGAATTGTTAGACATGTTTATTTATTTCACTGATGCGTAATTGTGCCATTGTGGGTGTAAAATATGTGGTTTAAAGTTGTTCTATGAACACATCCCATGGTTAAAATAAACAATTGTACCCTCAAGTCATAACAGGGCTACACTGAGTATTCATTTTGGAATACACCAACCTTGGTTAAACAGAAACAGAATTAAGAAACATTGAACGCCATTACTTGTTTCATGTTGTGAAATACTCCAGTATTTTTGCCTGGATGCTGTCATTTCACAATGAGGACTGCAGGGCATGTTAAGTGCAACTTTGGCCACATGAGAGGAAGTCCAATATAGGAAAAGAGCTGAGTCACCACTGGTTTCATGAACACAGACACATTAAATATGTTATAGTTTAGTGTTAGGATCCCGGTTGAGGACAAAACGCAAACCAGTAGATGTTAAGGTGAATAAGATGCAATCAGCAATAATAGCAGAACTTAAAAGAGGTGGTTTACCTAAATTATGGCAAAATACATTTGTTCTATTACCTCATTGTCTGAAGATATTATTTTTAGGTTTGTTTTCTAGGGTTTCGAAATCTTTTCTGCTTTCAGCCCAAAACAATAAATAGCGTCTGTGTCATTTCACATAAATAAAAATAAGCAATATCTCTTTCCAGTCCAAGACCATTTTTAGGATTATGTTAGCACCACATAGTAAATAGCATTGAGCTACATGGTATGCTACTGTATGTGTATCAACCTCAGATTAGAGCTATCTCACAACCTCAGCAAATAATCCAGCACTATCTACGGCAAGGGGTATGTGGGAAAATGCTTCTTTATAATTTAGGTTAACTATTACTGTGAATCTTTGGTGATCGTAAGAAAAGACTGATATAAAGTAAATCAGATTCGGATTCAGATTGCTTCCAAACATGTCAGAATAACAGAAAAGCAATAACTCTACTGTAAATTATGATTTTAGATGTTGATTTCTCAGTAAACAGATGATGAACTCAGTTTATTCCTCATTTTCCACAGTATACCATGCAGTTATGTGCAGATAAAACAACCACACAAACATGTAAGTATGTACATCCTGTAAGTCATTAGGCAATGATAAGAGGAGATATTATTTAGAGACACTGAAGGTGCCAGAAAAAAGAAAAACAGAAAATGAAAATAAAGAGAGCTCCTTTTCAGGACATTTTCATATTCATATCTTATATAAACTGTCCATGCTTTTAATGTGGCACTTTGAATCAAACTGGAGGCTTTTGCTTCCTGTAATGATGTGATTGATTCATTATTTGCCATTGTAATTGTTTTATTTTACTATAGCTGAAAGCTGGATGTGAGGGTGGGACAGGGTGAGCGAGCTATCAATATGTATTTGTATGCTATGATATGTAACATTGGTATTATTATTTGTATTTGTGCCTATAGGACCGCCTTGCAAATAGGATACCTTGGGTTATATCCTTTTAATACATTTAAATATCTAAAATTCAAAATCTGTGAGTTGATATGTGTCTTAATTTCATCCTGCATGATGAGCCCCTTGATTCAGATAGTTCTTGCGGTAAGAGGTACGGTAGACTCCTTTAGATCACTCCAACAGCTGAATAGAAAGCTGGTCCAGTTCAAGACAGTGCTGTTAAACATGAGGTCAATAGCCTTTACACACTTCTTCTCTCTGGCTTTCTAGTTAGAGCGGAGCACGACTCCTGACTTTTCCGTGTGTTTTATTTTTATTTTGTTTTTAAGATATATCTGTTGTAATTTATTGTCGTTTATTGTGATTTGTAGTAATGTGTTTTTATTACATGTACAGCACTTTGGCTCGACCAAAAATCGCTTTTAAATGTGCTATATAAATAAAACCTGATTTGATTTGATTTGATTTGATTTGATTTGATTTACCAGGCAGGGGTGTCCAAACTACGGCCCGGGGGCCAAATGTGGCCCGCGGACCATGTTGAATCGGCCCTCAGCAAATTGAAAAAGTATAATGGAATATGGCCCACAAATTAAACTTGTGCTTGTCTTATATTGTACTTCTTAAATGTAAAAATATATTACACAGTAGTATTCATGTGTTATTTAAAGTTGGAAACATATCTTAGTTGATAAGAAAAAGCCCAATGACTTATTTACATAACAAGCTTGAAATAAACCCTTCCTATTTCTCCTTATTATAATCAATCTGAGGCTTCTGTTTTAAGGGATGAGCTGCCAACACTCACAAGCATCCTACATTTGATTCATTTTGCTAACTTATAACTGAACTTATGAAGCAATAGTGGAGCCTTGCAGCAGCGGCGAAACTGTGGCGCGCTTACACTGTAGGTGCGCCGCGTTTGTTGTTGCGGGTGCTAGTGGAGCCTCGCAGATGCGGGTGCTGCAGCCCCCTCAGCATCCCCCCCTTCCCGCATCCATTCGCGATGTCTCGCTGTCTCGCAGACCCCACGCAGCAAGCAGGAAATGAACCCAGCTCACACTGTCCGCTCCTCGCAGCAGCGAGCCGCGCAACGTCCCGCCAACACGGCACCCAGACCCCACGCAGCATTCTCATCTGTTTGTCATTACTGGTGTCATTTTCTGGTTGCTAACACCATTGTAACACATAATCACTGATGTTCCGCTGTAACGGTGGTAGACCATAGTGGTAGACTCATCAGAACAGAGTGGGCGAGCTGACCAATCAGAGCACAGTGGGCTCACAGGGGGGGGGCAGGAGCTCCAACAAGCCGTTTAGGACAGAGAGTGAATAGAGTGGCGAAGTCCCTCCCCTTCCGGTTGAGCCCCATGGGACCTTATTTCGGAAAAGTTATGCATTGAAGTCAATGGAGAGAGAAAGATTATCTTTCGATCCCGTTTGAATTGTGCCACGAATTACACATATGATGTTTGTCAATTTAAAAGATAATTTTGCAAGTCAAAAAAAATAAAATGTGTCGTAAAACTGTGAAGTAACACATTTTTTTGTGTGAACCGCTCAATGAACTACATCTCTGGTCTCACAGAACAACACACGTCACCAAGATGGCCGTCACTACTGTCAACAAACCGATTGGCTACCCTCACACTATCACCACAATGAAACACGTCCTGAAGAATGTCATGCAAAGCTGCCTGGCTGCCTTCCTTTGATTCTCTCTGAACTGCCCGGTCGTTTTAATGTTTAATGTCAACCATTTGTGCAGATAGCATGAAGTAGAGAAGATCGCTAGCGTTAGCGTTAGCATTTCTCCCCCGGGCTTAAATTGTGTGTTATAGAATGATCACACCGGTGACAGTACTATTCAAAGGGTTCACGAAATATGACTACTACTCTTACTGTTTAACATTTTGGGTTACTTAATGTTACTTCATGTTAAGGCTAATAAAAATGACAAGGCTGTAATGCTAACTAACGTGCTAGCTACTAGCTAGGTAGCTAACTTGATCTACACACTCCTCTTTCATCAGACGGGAAGCGAAAGAACAAGCAAGACCCATTGCTGGTATAATAACAACCTGGTACTAAGCACACAGGCATCTTGTGAAAGTTATCTTATCTTAGCCAGCGCCATATAGATAGATTCTATCTATATGGCGCTGATCGTATATATACGGTATTATACGTGTATCGTAGTGTCTCAATTGTGACATCACTTACGCGACTCTGGGATTTGTAGTCTTTCTAGTTTCGTATTTTTCAAAGTCTTATATTTCAACAGTTTTAAGACAAACTGTGACTTTTTTGACATGGAAATGATTTTTTAAGATTGACAAACATCATATGTGTAATTCATGGCACAATTCAAACGGGATCGAAAGATAAGTTTTCTCTCCCCATTGACTTCAATGCATAATTTTTCCGAAATAAGGTCCCATACCCCGGAAGTAAGTGGGAGGGACTTCGCCACTCTATACACATATACAGAGATGCTGTATGAGAAACCAATGTGAGTTTGGAAAATTGCACAATATAAATCTATTCTAGTAGACCTCAACAATGGAATTATGATCAGTAGAAATGGCCATGACATGGGACCTTTAAGTGTTGTGGTCCACGTTTTTCCTTAAGCTTCTAAAAAACATCAGTAGTATGAATTAACATTACCTATCCAGCTGAAAACAGGCTACTTCTGAGGACACTTGTCCATCATCAGTGATAACCATTTAGGAAAGTCCAAACCAATGTTTATACTTGTTTTCTGTCTACGAATGTCCCTTTTGCTTCCACTAGGATTCATGTACCCTCCTTGTTTTTCTATTGCAAAAAAAAGGTATGATATGAATATTAGATGTGTTATTGTTGACTAATGCTCATCAGTAAAAATACGTTGATAGATCCGATTAATTTCCCCATAACATCTTTCTAAATAAAGTAATATTTGTACTTCCTTCTTTAGTGCTAGGATATTTCTCCCCTCAATGCACTGGCCCTTTAATGAACTTATACATTTCAGTTATTTAAAAAATATTTATCAGAACATTATTTTAGGTAATTTTTCAATGCCAAGAAAAACATGGAGCAAATGAAAGAAAAAACGATATTTGTTTAAATTATTTTGTTATCCAAATTTAAACCGGATGTCCGGTTGAGAAAATGTTTCCCAGAATAATGTCCGGCAGCCACAGATTTATGTTCCTCTCACGTTGATAACGGCGTTTTAAAACCATACTTCAGATATTTTCATCTGTTTACATTTCCATAGGGTATTGCATTTCTACGGAAGCTGCTGCTAAGTGATAATGCTAGTATTTAGACAATATGGTTGTAAACAATACGATGAGGGCGCCTGAAGGTTCCGGTTGACACCCGGACACAAACAAACGTGAGCACAAACTGAAAGGAGTGGGTTTGCGGATTTGCTGCAGATTCACTGAGGTGTGTATTTAATTCTAAATAACCGCTTCTGTTGTAGTAACGTTATTAGCATCTATGAGCATCTATTAGCATGTCTTAGCTACACTATTTGCAGATGTGTGCGTGTATTCCCTTGTCGCTAATGTTATTCTGCCTGGCTTCATAGATGGGAGAAGTACTCAGATCTTGTACTTAAGTAAACGTAGAAGTACCAGAGTGTAGGAATACTCTGTTACAAGTAGCCTACAATTACACCAATATTAGCATCAAAATATACTTAAAGTACCAAAAGTACTAGTCCTAGATTTATTTACCTAACTAAAGGATAGCTTGTGATGTTATCCAGGTATAACTAAAGTCCTTTGTATGTGTTTTTTGTGTTTCACATTATTAATCAAAATCTGCAAAGCAACTAAAGGTATTAAATAAATGTAGTGGAGTTAAAGTACACAATTTACCTCTGAATTGTAGTGGAGTAGAAATAAGAAGTAGCAAAACATTCAGTAAATTACAGGTTTCTGAAAAGTGTGCTTAAGTACAGTACTTGAGTAAGTGCACCAAGTTCCTTCCCACCTCTGGCGAGTTTCCTGCAGACAGATGATATTTTGTTCATGTTTTTGTCTTCACAGTGTCCCCGTCTCCTATGGATTCACTCAACACGTTTGAATCTGAGATGGAGGCTGATGGGCAGGGGAGCTACTCTCTGTTTCCTGCGCTGGACAGCATTGCAAGTCTATCTGGGGCCGCTGAAACTCTGGAGAGGTTGTAGAAGAGAGAAAAGTGTATAATAACTGCTTTTGGATCCAGAACATACACCGTGAAATATATGATAAGATAATAAGATATAATAATCATTTAATATTGCATAGTGGTATTGCTACAGTATAGAATAGCATCCCTGGTGCTCGCACTAAATCAGAAATGGGAGTTCAGAAACAGGTTTTAATGCCAAGGAGGTTAACACATACGAGGAATTTGCCTTGTTGTATACATAAGCACAGTCAAAGAAGATTTTTTTTAAAGGACCATCAAATAAAACAATGATAAACTAAAACTATTATAACATAGAAATATAGCAATATTTACGTGCATTATAGATGAAATATAGATATGCCCGTACAAATAAAATAGAATAAAAGAAAAATATGTGCAGTTTTGATATGACAAGTGGAATACAAGAGGTATAATGAAATTATTATACAAATCAGAGGGGATTCCATTATTTAAAAGTGTTTTTAGATTCTTGACCTATATAATTTGAGTTGATTTATTTTCCTTTTTTAACATCATTTAATATAAAATAATCTATATCACACATGTTAAGTTCGAAATATATACATAGTAGTTCAGTAATGCGGTTTTATTGATATCCTGATATAATCATATTTCACATGTAATGATTTCCAAGTAGAAATAAATAATAATTACAAAATACAATATTGCACTGGATGATAATAAACCATGTCTGATTGCAGCGAACCGCCCAGTGACATTGCAGAGAAGCCAAACCTCACATGGCTCGACGCTGCACAGGTATTTACTATTTACTCAGTTTGGTGTTACTAAAACAATTTACCACAATCAACTGTTTTGAGATTATTTCTTGGTAAATGTTTTTGTTGGCTTCTCCTGTCTGTGATGTAGATTGTATTGGAAGAAGCGGGACGTCCTATGCACATAAAGGAGATAAAACAGAGAATCATCGACAGGGGACTCGTTCAATCCAAGTAATCCTCGCTATTTTTACAAAATGTTTGCCTAATTTGCTCATATGTTCATCCACATCGTGAATCATACATTTTTTGAGTAGACCATAACACTTGATACAATTAGACTCTGCTTAGCTTGTTGTTTTCTTCTCTGCAGCGCAAAGTCCAGTCTGGAGGCAGTCATGTACCGCGAGGTAAGAATGGTGTTTAAGAGGCAGTCTGACAGCAACCTCTGCTGTTGAGTGTGATGACATGCACCTCCATTTAACATTTGTGTCAGTTCAGTCGATACAGTACATGTGTCATCTGTTATTTCTGCCACTATCTTTTCTTTCTCCATGTTTTGCCATCTTGCTTCTTTAGGCTTATTTCACGACTTTCAAAAGAGACCGACATTTCTGAGCTGCAGTCGAAACAAACAATGCTCTGTGTTCAAATACAGAAGCCTTAAACCTGCTGTATCTAATAGTGGTGAAATTCATCTAAAAGGGCTTTTGGGAACAAAAATGTGGCTATTATAGCCCCGTGCATTGGCCTGAGTCTCACTATATGTTTCAGACACAAAAAGGCAGCAGGAGATTCAAGAGGATTGAGAACAGAAACGGAGTCTTTGCACTGCTGGTGAGTTAAATCGGACACTATCGCCAAATTCACACGAAACCCAAACAATAATTGGATCCTGAAATTGCATTAAATCTTTTATGCCAGACTATCGGTCGTGAGTAAATACTGACTGTCCACACCAGATCTGGGTCCAAAACTGTAGTTCGATTATATAGATTAACTGTATTAACTAACTTGGTAGTTGCGAATATTTAATGCTATCTGGCACTGATAAGCTGGTGTAATGTGCTAGGATATCTGCTATTTATTAGCTTACTTTAATAACATGCTTGTAAAGGACATAAGGGCTGACTTTAATTACTCTGCACTACTAATAAGCCTTCAATATTTGTTTAACTGCTATAGTAATAATACTTTCACCATAGAGGCTGAAGGTGAGCAGGGTTAAATGTTGATCAGCAGCAGGATCTGTGAGCCATATTAGAGATTAATTCAAAGTCAAACAATTTTATATTATCTTTTTCAGTTTTGAAGATGCACATTTTGGTTTAAGTTACTTTCACTGTTTGTCATACAGCAGTTTAAATGTAAGCTCCATCAGTGTTATTTTATCGTTTACATGTCAGTCTGTATTTTCATCCATCATCCTTAAGGCCACACAAGCATCAGCCTCAGGTTCACCTTGTGCACATGAACACATCTGGGTCCTGTGTTTCCCCACAGACGGACGAGGAGAGGCAGCAGGCTCTGCAGGCCTACACTGCACAGTCTTTCCTCGGCTCTCCGCAGCACAACACCCTCTCCAGTTCTGGATCAGGGGCCTCGGCACACGCCTTCCCATCCCCCACCAGTTCCCCAGAGCACAGGACCAATATGAAGAGGGGTCCACGGAAAAAACTAAATGAAAAGTACCGACTCAAGTACCTCAGACTACGTAAAGCAGCCCGCGCCATGATATTTGTGAGTGAACTGTGGACCCATGGAAAGCTATGAGTGTTTTTTGTGTTGTCTTTAACAGCATGCTTAAGGCTTTTGGTATGATATTGTAAACATTGTTAGAACCTTTCAATCGTTAATAGTCTGCAGTTTCATTTTTTTTATTTAGGTTATTCTCAGGATCAGTTTCATTGCTGTAATACAGTTTTTTCCACAGGAGAATGCAGCTCTCTGTGACGAAGTCGCCCATTTAGAAGAGAAGTTCCTAAGAGCTAAGGAGGAGCGGAGGTGAGCGGATATGTTTCAGCTATGCTTATGTTTTCCATGACGTTTAAAAATGTGTGTCTTCACAGGGTGTCCGCGGGGTCTTAAAAAGTTGATAAATCAATTTAGCGAAAATGAAGGCTATTAAAAAGTATTAAACGGCATTTTCAAGGTATTACATTTTGTAGCTTGTTTTCAAGAAGTATATAAATTGTCCAAAGAGGTTGTATTCTACAGTCTGCCTGAATGTAATCATTGCGTAGGTGTGTAGTGTGATTCTGTGTAGTTTATTTATGGCATCCCGTTGGATTTGACGTCATCTGAACAGGACATTGCGCGCTCACTGCTTGATAGCGCGCAAAGGTCCGTTTACGCCGGTTGTTAAACAACATCGTTATGGGGAAATGCAAGTTTGCGTCCAAATGGTTGGAAGATCAGGAGGAAGGACAATCAATACTGTATATAGTCAATGTGAGGTAAAGTGTGTCGCCAATGTAACCGGTTAAAACTCTAAGTATGCGATGAGGTCTTAAAATGTATGGAAAGGGTCTTAAAAGGTATTGCATTTGACTTCAGGATTCCTGCATATACCCTGCTTCAGCGAGGACTGTTTTTTCTTCTAATATTGAACACGATGAATGTGCTGTTGTGATTGTTAGAAGTAGGACTTGAAGTTAAGTGTCATCTTTTCATCTCTTTTAACAAAAAACGTATGAATTTTCATTTCAAGGTTCTTACTGAAGTCATTGCTGCAGTACCAGTCTTTGACAGAAGGAGATATGCTACCAACACCTAGCTCTAGTGCTCATCCACCTGTTCCTCCTGCAGCTTCAACCTCAGGGGCTTCAGGCCTGTCTGGGGGGCATAGCCTGGCCTCAGTGGTGTCAACAGGGGAAGAGGGATCTCTTAAAAAACCCAAGAAGGAAAGGAAAGAGCGAGGCAAGGAAAATGGAAAAGAGGAATGTGAGTGCTATGCATATTGAGAATAGATATCATTGAAATGGTCCACATTTATCTTTCAGACAGTTAGCCCATTATGTCATACGATCTATTTTTTTCTTCAGTTCCAAAGAAGATGACTAAGAAGAGAAAGCTAGCAGACGGGTCTCGCAAACTGGTGCAGCCCATCCATCTGGACTCATCTGGGCGTCCTGTCTTTCCCATCGTATTGGGAGGATTAACAGTCTACAGCCTGGGAGAGGTCAGTTTCTGGCTTCACTCACATGCAAGCTTTATTTTTATCCTACCATTTTCTTTTTAAATACCTACTTTTTTTTGTTTTAAATTAAGTAGATGTTACATTTTCAAGTAACCCTCTCAACAGCCTCTTTAATTCGACACTACTCACCAAATAGAAACATTTGACTGATTTCCAGATCATCACAGACAGAATGCTTTTCCATGATGAGTGTGCCATTTACCCGGTGGGCTTCTGCAGCACTCGAGTCTTTGCCAGCATGAAAAACCCCGACCAGCAGTGCCTCTACACCTGCCAAATCAAGGATAGTGGAGCAGGTCCACAGGTACACACTTTTTATTGAAGTCAGGTTTGCCAAGTGCAAATAACCATCTTTTTGACCCTCATTCACAAATGTAATGGTATTTAAAGGGGCCCTACTATGCTCATTTACAGGTTCATATTTGCATGTTGTGCCTCTACTGTGACATGTTTCCAGTCTGCTCTGAAAGATTGGCTGGCCGGCTCTGTTGTGATTGGTCACCTGCTTAGAGATGTCCCGCCTCTTAGCCTGTCATGTACAATGTGTTGGAGCGCTAGCCAATATAACCTGAGTGTTAGGGTTACAGATGCACAAAAACCTAAAGAACACACTACAAGAAAGGGAAAACCCCAAAAAGCATAAAGGAAAATGAATAGTCATTATTTAAGAATTGAATTATTTAGATCCAAGTCTCCACAAGAAAATTGCCACTTACTACGTTGTTGAGTTTCATTCAGTTTGAAATGGTATGAATACATTTGTTTACTGACACATGCAATCTGATATTGTCCTCCATAGTTTGAGATTGTGCCTGAAGAAGATCCTCAGAATGCCATCGTGGCCACCTCGGCCCTCACATGCCACTCCAATTTACTGAAGGTCATCGCGTCGGTCAGGTACCAACATTTACCACAAAGACTTGGATTTATTGGCATAACTTTTTTAATGAAATCATACTCTGTCAACGTGTCCTTTTCTTAGTTCCAAGTCTGTGGTGCCCATCATGCCCTCAGGAGCTGATTTCTTCGGCTTCTCACACCCAACCATCCAGAATCTCATCCAGAGTTGTCCTGGAGCACGCAAATGTAGCAAGTAAATATGAAACACACCATGCAGAACATGCAGAATGTCATTTAAGAATATGAATGACAGTTGTTTCATCACAACATTGTAGGCTTCAGCTGTAAAGCAGTAGGCTTGTTGACCTTAGTTTTTCATCACTATAACAAAGACCTACTGTAGTAAGTGTAGAAGAAGTAAGTTTAAAGAAGTGTTCACAAACAAAGACATACATTAAATATATTTCACATCCTATATTGATGATTTTTCTAGGTGACATGTAAACCTTGATATTACATGTTTTTTTTCCTAAGGATACATTAACAAGTGGTAAGTAAAATGTTCAGGTCGTATACATATACATTAATATATTTTACACAAGTATGTACAAAATACCTACTAAAAGTCTAAATGTCACCAAAAATATGTTTTTTTCTTTTTTAATCTTCTTTATTTAGCTACCGATGGATACGTTTTGAGGTGTGCCGCCCCGGTGATGGCCAGGTTCCTCACAGCCTCTCGGAGGACGATGCCTCCGTCAACTTCGAGGCCTACCAGAGACACCAGGGCTTTGAAGAGAGCATCAAGACTGAGCACATAACAGGTTTCTTAAATATCAGTTTGGCAATGTTTTTAGCTTGACTGTAGTTAAGAGGACCTTATGCTTTGTCATTTCTGTGTTACATTCATAAGGCTCTTGATTATTGCGTGTGCTGTACAATCAGTACAGCTTACTCTGGTTCCTATCTGTCCTTAAAACATCCTGAATATGAACCAGGTTTAACAGCTGGGTCAGTGGCTAGGAAGTCACACATAAGAATCCCTTGGTGGGAAAACAAATACAAGTCTTATTTATTGACAGCTGCTGTCAAAATGTATGAGCAATCAATTCTATGGTTATACTTTGTGTGTGAGTAACCCTCCTTTCCCCACCTAGCGCCCTTCTGATGTAAATAGCATAATAATAATAAAAAAGTATACCTTTACAGAAGTTACAGCAAGGTTTTAAATAGAAGTATGCCAAATGACGAATATTTCAAAGTACTTTTCTAATACCCTTGTATTTGTTTAATGCTTGATGATGATCCCTCTGCATTGATTGTGATGCTTGTACTTTTTATCCTTTTGTCTTTCCTCAGGACAGGCACCGCAGTCCCCTAGCTCCTCTCACCAGCACCACCTGACCTCCCCCACCATCAACATGAAGCCCTCTACCTCCTATTTCAGCTCCTGATCCTGGAGGGCAAGGTCATACATGGACGCAATCCTTGGAAAAAGTAGTTTTTATTTACAAAGCTAATATTGTTTTTTCCTCCCTTTTCCTTTATGGTTCAAACATGTAGGAAAGCGAGGCATTCAGGAACTCAAGCCTTTCTTATCTATTGTTTTTCATCTTCGAGCTAGTCCCAGATAGCTGGGAACTTTACTGGGGATGTGTGCTAGCATAGTTGATGCTTATTTACTAAGTGTGTCATGTCATTTTTTCAATAATTTCCAGAATGAACATTTAAGACAAGTTGTGTGCTTAAAGTGCTAATAGCCACATTAACCCACCATAGCTGTTATGACAATTTCATTTTTGTTTGTAAAGTCGTAGTCAAAATAAACCTCTTTTTTTTTTATTGGGAAATCTGCTGAATAAAAAAAGTATACAAGGTTTGGTAAATGGCACACTGTTGCATAAATATATAACTGTTGGTACCCTAAATGAAGTTGCAATTACACTTTTGTCTCCAGTTCAACAACAGTAGATTTTTACTACTGTAATATAAAAACAATGGCTTTGAATGCAACACACACACACAAACTTAGTTGTTTATTTAACATTTATTTGTTCAAACATAGTTATAACGACTGATTTGTGTTGTACACTTCAGAGTTTTGTTCAAATAAAACCTTTGTCATGTTTTTCTACATACATCCAGCAATTTATTTTTGTACTTAACATTCAGTATTTAAATTTGAGACGGACTGATTAAAAAACATCTTTAAAATAAAATAAAAGTAAACATATTTCCCAGCAGGCTGACAGGTACAACTGCCAAGCTTTCCAACCAAGACGTGATATAGCAGCAATAATCTTGTTGCATTATTCTCCATTATTCTCTTTTGATGAGATGACGCATTATAGTCAGAATAATCTAGTAAGACTAATCAATTAACTTATTGAATACCAAAAGTAATTGTCTAGTCATAAACCTTTAAAAAAAAAACTCCTTCCCTCTAAAATAATCCTTGATATCTGTAAAAAAAAAACAAGAATATAAGACAAGTTGAGCTTTTCTCAGTAACAATCCACTATCGTGTCAGCTCCTTACTTTCACAGTCTCAATCATCCTGTTTAAAGTCATTCATTTGCCTAATTCCACTTCATTGAGAGATCAGCTTATGTTGACTTGAACAAAGGCAGACTGTTCATTATTTGATCTTCTTACAGTTCATTGATTACTTTGGCTGGTAAAAGGAGGAGCAGGTAAAATCTTACTGGCGCTGTAGATTGGACAGGCTTTAAAGTCACAGGGCCAGTCTCTCCATGCATACCGCAGAGCAGCTACTTGTTCAGTGGGAGAACACAAGCTGGTAGATAACTGGACAGTGGTCGGACCCCACTGCATGATGGGAGCTGGAACCCAATGAGCCTTAGGATCCCATGGAGACTCACTCTCTGAGCAGCAGATCTTAATAGAAGAGAATTGTATTTATTTAGCAAGAAATTATCGGAGCAAACATAGGTTGCGGTCGAATAATCCAAAAATCAGCTCCTAACGTCTAACCCTATCGTCTATTCCTTGACCTCGGAGTGAAACGTCATGGGGTTAAGGGATAGTGGATAGGAGAATTCAAAGGATTTAGGAGAAGAGACTGCGGTACTTTAGAGAATCCGACTGCACTTTCACTATCCGACGTGTTTATGATGCGCCAGCGGACGTCATAAATGTGCGTCTGCTGCTGTGGGGAAACTATGGAAACTACAGTTTTCTATACAGCGGACTACAACATGGATGTATAATAAGAACGAGGGACTACTGTAAACTCATCTAGAGACTCTGCACCGTGCTCTGATGCTGTTGTTTTATGCTTTATGAACGGGGACAACAGAGAAACATATTCTTCATGACCAAAGTTGGAATTGAAATAAAAAAGGAAAGTGAAACTTATGCTCGTCACCCTCTCCCTCCGGTCCACATTAATACAAATGATCCCAATACGTATGATTGTATGAAAAGATCTTATAATAAATACAAATGTAGGCTATTTATTATAAACGTTAGTCCTTAACATCTATCACTGTGTATATCACCATTCAAACATCTTTTAAAAGTTGAACAAACCCCACACAGCTCAGTAAAGACTGTGAAATGTTGACTTTATTTGATAATTTCAGTAAAAACTAACGGTCATATTTCTCTTTTTGATTATAATACTGATGAACGTTCAAAACAAAGCACTTTGGCAACTTACCACATACGTTTTAAAATGCTTAATAAGCACCGTAACTTTCATGATATATTTTCACGGTCATAATCGGTTGTTTTCGTGAACGGCCGACTGTTGTGTGACGGCAAATGCTGCGGCTGCAAGGCATTGTGGGGCAGCATGTTCTCCTCTCCTTTCGGTGAGGGAGGTCCAGTGATTCCTAAGCTAAAGGAGTTTATAAAGGAAGTTTGAAACCTCCTTTCCTATCATCTAGAGAATTCGAACGGCACTTATCATGGCTGCCACTGAGGGACTTCCGGGTCATTTCACTCCGTTAGGAAGGTTCCTAAGCTAAATGGACTATTCGACTTCAGCCATAAACTCTGTCTTATGGTAAAGTTATTCTTTTTGTTAGCATATTTAATAAAGCCAGCAGGTAAATATGGGAAAGATGTCATACTGAATGTGCCGCTGCCAGCCTTACCTCAAAGATGTTTTTAGACGGAGTGACAGAGACTTTCTGGTCGTAGGTAATCTCGAGATACTTTGGAGTGGACAGGATTTGGCTGGGGAAAGGTCCACGAAAGGCCACGTCCTGCTCACCATACGCCACTGCCCTTGCTCCCAATGACAGTCTGAAGGCCACGTCCTGCTTGTCTCGAGGATGGATCCTGAAATAAAACAAAATCACACAAGATTCAGGTCAAGACATAAAAACAGCAGATAGCTGTTTCTGTGTTTGTAATTTAGTACAAACACAGTACTACTTCAGTACATAAGAAAGTCTGTTGTTGTGAGAGTTATGCCTAGGATTCACTTTGTGGCAGCAAATCGTTTTTTGGATTTGTTTCTAGGTATCTTAAAATTGTCCTAATGACTCGCTGGAAGGCAGATCAGAAACATATGGAAATGAGTGATTTGAGCTCCATTCTCCAGTTCAAACAATTGCAACATCAGCATTTTTTTATTTTAGCATTTAAAGGTGGGGTAGGTAAGTTTGAGAAACCGGCTCGAGATCGCTAGAATTAGAAAATACACAACCGGAGAAAATCTGACACTTCCTTACAGAGCCCCTCCTCCAACACACACAAACGCGCACATGACCAATGAGGGCACGAGATAAGTTTGTGCACAGATGGAAGGCTGACAGGCAGGTAGGCCATCCAGTTATTTTAGCCGGGCCGGCTAAAATGATTGGTCGTACTTTTTACAGTATTACGGCTTCCACAGATGACATTTTTTTTATGGATTTTTTGTCAAAGCACTTAAGATATTCATTGCTATATTAAGAGCATTCCATGGAATATAACAAAAAGTGTATCTCGAGCCGGTTTCTCAAACTTACCTACCCCACCTTTAAGTCTGATCTGATACGGTAGATTAAAAAAAACACTGACCTTCGGTACCACTTCTCTCAAAACAAGAGTTGGGTTACATTGAATTGTGACATGTAAGAATTGACCAAATCTACTGAAAGAGTTGTTGTTTATGTGTTTCCATTAGCTAATCACCTATCAACATTATATGCCAATCACACAAAGGTATCACCAAATACACCAAAGCAAGGTAATTGTCCCTGGTGTTGTACAGGGTCATATGCTATGAGTTCATGTTAATACAATCCTTACGAGCCAAAGGGAGATTTTTCATCTGGCAAATCCATAGCCACAGCCATGAAAGTTTTCTGCATTCGGGCATTTGGGACAAAGCCGGTATCTGCTGTCTGGTGCCAGCGGATATTCGGATAGGCGTCACTTTTGGAATTTTTTTCCCAGGTACTCAGCTGGAAGTGCAAATAAATCATGGATTAGTGTTACCCCTGAAACTATAAAACGCCAGGTTTTTTATTTTATTTATCAAAAACAAAGGCAAATAAACAATGTTTCCCTCAGTATTCATTCAGCAGTAAAGTACTCCTGCGAGTCCATGAACATGACAAGTGCCTGTGGTTACTTCACTTTTATGGGCGCCGCTACTCAAATGTCACAGTATCATAATATCCATTGAAAACAAATGCCGGTGCCGGACACAAACACACAAGCATACATACATCGGATAGGCGTCACTAGTTGAGTTTTTTTTTTAAGGTAGACAGCTGCAAGTACAAATAAATTATAGTTTGGATGTACAAAATAAAACAATTATAAAAATAAATCCTGACAGAGAGCTGAGAATGAGGCTTGATTTTCAAAATAGAAGCCCAAAGAAGCAACGAAACAGCTAATGCTTTGAATACTCACTTAGCATTTCACATTAGTGTTCTGTGACCAAGTTAAACCACAGTCATAATTTAGTTTGAACTCAATTCTGTCATTCTCCGTTTTGGAAAAGGCAATAAAGTAAAAGGCTAACAAACTTTAAAAGTGACATATTTTATGTTTAAATAAGTGCAGGGCTATGGATTTATGTACATTTTTCAGTGGTTCCTGTGGATTTTGAGAAATGAATAATACATATTTGGGGAAAAAAAAACATCTAAGGGACAATTTGCTGTGGTGTGATTTTGCTATTAAAACTAAAATCATTAATGGTACATACCTGGACAAATCCAAAAGGGAAATCGAGGGCCGTCTGCCCTCCTGAGCCCTGATGAAACGCCATCCTCCAGTCATCAATCATAGCAGGGAAGGAACAGTTGTACTTCTCTTGATGATAAATGGTGTTAGCCTCACCTAAAAACAACACAAGGCGTATACAGTACATGCAGGACATACATGAAAATCAGAAACCTTTGCAGCCCGTCCTACCTTGGTACCAGATGGCTCCTTTGATGGTCATGTTCAGCAGTGGGTGGATCATTGCATTCCACAACACTGAATTTACTTTGGGACTGAAAGAATTTAAGGTGCAATAAAGAGTCAACCTTGTAGTTAGTTAATATACAACATTAAAGCACTACTTAATGTGTGTTTGGAAATCGATCGGTATGACAAAACATAATATGATGATATAATACTGTATCTATATCTTTATTGAATCCCTGAAACGTACCCGTCATCAGGCTGCTGTAGTAGTCCACAGTGCTTTAGTGCTCTTGGAGAGCACCAGGGTTCGATAGGTGTGCCCCCCCAACAGGACTCCACCAGTCCTATGGGGTACTGCAGCTTATCATACAAATCACGCCCAAAGAGCCAGCACACTGCAGAGAAACCGGACAGATCTGGAAAAAATCATGCCTGTTAAGTAGTCAATCAGCAGAATGCAAAAAGGTGATAAAACGCACATAAACAAATACCAACATGGTTGATTACATCGCTGTGCTGCAACCAAACAAAACACTAGCTTGGACTC